AATTCTGTTCATGTAATAATTGCAACCTTTATGTTTATACATACAATTGTACAATGACAGGGGTCGCTAATGACCTAGATATTATAAAGCGACCATAAAAAAATAAATTTAAAAACACACAATATTTTGAAACATGCCATGACGCAATATTTTTCAGGTTTTCGATTTTCCTTATAGTCTGTGTGGTACTGTACAATTGTAACGTTTCTTCAGTTCTTCCTTTTGTGGGTTGTAATACCGGTGGTTTAAATAGTTTTTTTTGTTTACATGAACAAAATGAAATATTCGCATTTATGGAAAAATTGTGTTTTTCCAGATGTTTCTGCCAGCAGTGAAGATAATCTCAACTACGGGTTACGCAGTGTCGTTGATGTCTCTGATAGCAGCGTTTTGCATACTGGCTACTGTCAAGTGAGTAACCATATGCAACATGGTTTTGTAAGGTAGGGGAGGAGTACGTTCATGTTTCAGCGGAACAATATTATCTATCCATATCATTAAGACTTTTCTCTAATTCTGCACAAATCGAAAATTGGACAGTGGTGTTCACACTGTAAGATTTCGTTAAATGAGAATATTTGAATCTTATTCAGTACTTAATTTGTAACGAAATAACTAAGGAAGATCTGAATGAATACTTTTAACTTTTATGTAGGAAGAACGACTTCTAATAATTTTTAAGCAGTAATTTAATTACATACCCACGCTACGTAACTGATAAAGTTCTACTGGGTCAGTGTCTTTATTGGACACACTGCGATTCATATAATTATTTCACAGAGGTCGTTCTTATAACTCATTTAACCATGTGTCCGGTATTCTTAATCTATACTGAAAACATCACTTTTTCTCCCTAAAGATAAAACTTGAGCAAAGATCATTCTTGTTACAATTGAAATTAAAGATAGGTATTGGGTTCTTATGAGATTTGACTTCATAATTCAAAACAATTCAAGAAAACATTATTTACAAGTAAAAAATTGCAAGTTTTTGATAATAATATAGCATTGACCTCCCAAATTGAGAATGGTTGGCTGCCCCATTCAGAATTCACACAGATTTAGTACCTCATGATATTCACTTCTATTCCTTCAAATAATTTGGATAACAATATATAATTTCTTGTGTATGTTGTAAGTTATGTTACACAATATTATAATTCTGGCTCTATATTTTTTGTTTATTAATACAATCTGAAATAAAAACTGAAAATTTACTTCCTCGAAAAAAGTGTCGTTTACTTCACCTTTAAGTCAAAACCAGCTGCTCTTCCTCTAACAACTTACGATGACAAGCCACTCTCATTTCTGGAGTCTTTACCAGCAAATAGTGCACAATCAATTATACACATTAAGGTGTGAAGTGTTACTGAATAATTAGAACATAACTTACAAACAAAAATAATAAGTTTTGTACGGTTGCCATTGGCAATTAGGCGGGCTCAATCAGGAGGTAGAGGCCGTGGGCGGACGCCACTTTGGAGGCAAAGAATCGACACCAGACCAATGACAGCAGTGCCCTCTTAAAAAAGAAACACTCTTACTCGTGGCAGCGCCTTGCCAGCTCAACAGAGAAACATTAGCTTACAGATTAGTTGACTGGGAACCAGATCAAATGCGGTTTGAGACTGCTGCCTTCTCGCATCTTGTCCATTTCTGTGTTCTCGAAATTTTGCCTGTTAAGAAACAATTAGAAAGAAATAGGAAATGTCAATTTGCTTTTTCAAAATAAGATCCATAACTTTGAGAAGATTTTCAATGTAAATACATGATCATTGCAATGACAATCTTTGTGAATAGTGCAGTAATAATATTCCTCTAAAGCATACTTATTACTTTTCTTGAACTTTCACTCATTGGTGACGAATTTTAAACCATTTGAAGCAAAAAGAAACTAGAGAAACGTCAAAAGTACTTCAATTTGACTATGCGTTTTCAATTATTCATTATCGTTTTAATAATACACAAAACTTGCATTATCATTGTACTATAGCGAGGGTTGCATGTATTATATTAAACCAAATGGCAACTTTGTACAAAAGAGTTTACATAAAATTTGTAAAATGATAATACAGGATGTCCCACCAACTGTAGGCCCCCCCATAGATTTTAAACGATTCGCGATTCGAAAGGCAGTTTTCACTTAACAAAGTGTAATCATGGAGCAAGTAACATGCCTTAGAGAAATGGTTTATAATATTTTTAGTTTTCGAAAAATTTATTCGTATTTAATTTTTAAATGGAAATATATATTTTTTCTTACCAGCAATGGATAGATTATAAAAAGAGGAATTAAATGATGTTTCATATGTTAGTATTTTGATAGTAGTTTGAGTATAAAATTAGATATTCTGACAATTGATTTTTAAGTAAACGGACATTTCCTGTCAGCCCTTGGAATTTCAATAGTCCCTGTTGGGGAAGATGGCCTTCCCGGCGTCGATACTGTTCCGGGAAGATAGGAGTCTGATCGGGGAACGATAGAGGCATAACTATAGCAATCCATGGTCTTGACACGAAGAAAATATGAACAAACATCAATATTAACGATCAGAATGATAATTTTTTTCCTATTGATCATCTGAATTGAACTTTCTTTCTACTGAAATTCCAAATCAACGACAATCGAAAATAAGCAAATAAAAATATTAAACATTGTAGTGCAGAGACGATTATAATTATGGTCATTTCCAAACTTACAAGATTTGAGCTCATTGTGTTATCGCAGAAACAAGCCATCATTTTAAAACACGGAAAGGGAATGAATACTTGAAGATTTTCAGAAGCCAACACCACGAGTGCTTTGGAAATTGGCGATGAATTCCCGATTCGCGAAGCGAGGAGGGGATTTATGTGAGAATTTCTAAAGCAGGAGTGGTATTTAATTGGACTATTCCATGAATGAAATTACGTCCGGCAGTGTTCCAAAACTGAATCAAATATTTAAAAGAATTGAAAACATGTTAAAATCAAATAGGTTATGTTACAGTACATACGCGGTTTATTGGAAATCGACATAGCGATCGATGTACAATACAATCTCCTAAGGTAGATGAGTAACAGTTGGACTATAATTGGCCAGTAGCTAAGAAGTGGCAAGAAAAATCGGATAGAAAAAGCGATAAACATTTTTAGATACATCGCTCAGATTGGGGAATTTTGTATGCATAGTTAAATACTATTGGTTTTAATTTCACGAGTGGAATAGTCAGTGTAATATCTCGATTAACGCATTAAAGATTAGATATGTAGACATTTTCTCTCATTATTTACTGTTAATAAACTTTTTAATTAGTCATGGCCCAAAATAACAAAGTAATAGAAATTTTGGAATGGTCTTGTCAGTTCTATCAATGTAAATTTACCAAACTTTAAAAAAAATGCGCTTTCGCAGTCGCGACTGCTAATACTGATTGGAGAGTTTCTCACTTCATAGTCACGTGCAGCTACAAATTTGAAACTCCACAACAGAAGACGGAAGTGTACTATTTGTTTTTCCTTTAATGAACAGCAGTAGTCGTATGGTTGCGAAGTGAAGGAGTGATCATCTTAAATAAAAATGAAATTTACCAATTTGATTGGATTCTTGTCAAGTTTGAGAATATTTATTATTATCTTCCTTACGCTACCAATTTTTATATCGTTCTTTGGAATTATCGATTTTTGGAATATCAGTAGAAAACTCGTTAAATCCAGATGAATGGAATGAAAAATATCTCTCATTCTGCTCGTTAAAATTGGTGTTTCTTTGTATGACCTCAGTGTCAAAATCATAGATAGATGTAGTTATGCTTCTTATCCGTCACTTCCAACCCTCTCAGTCTACCGTCTCCAAGCAACAGTCTTGACGCCGCGGGGCCACCTTCCCTTCACCGCCTTCAGGCGAGAGTTGCAAGGTCTGCTACATGAATTATTGTCCGTTTCATTCAAAATCACATGTCAGAAAGGCGAATGATTTTATACTCAAATTGCTATTAAAATACCAATATATGATACATCATATTATTTCTCTTTTTATGACCTACCCATTATTGGTAAGAAAAATATATAGTTCCATTAAAAAAATCAAAGATGATTAAATTTTTCGAAAACTAAAAATATTATTTACAATTTATCTACGGCTTGCTACTTGCAGCATGATTCCGCATTGTTCAGCGAAAACGGGGTTGATCCATAGTTGTTGGGCATCCTGTGGGTAAATGAATGTCACACTCTATGTGCTATCCCGAAGCCAGACTATAACTCGAACATCAATTTTCGCCCGTCTGCAGATGAGGCCCCGCTGCCGACGGTCAGTGTTGGTCCAAGGCCGCGCTCGACGACTTTGAGCAGGGTTGTCAAACTGGCAGCCCGCAGTGCCATAATTGCGGCACGCAAAGATTATTAGACGGCGATGGTGTACGGTTAGCGTATCGGACTGTTATACCCAAGTTGGCGGGTTTTCAAGGGCTAAAAAATCCTTCGTACGCCTTCCTTCGGAGGGGAAGTAAAGCCGGCTGTCCCATGTTAGTAGATTTACTTGCATGTAAAAGATCCTCAAGTCTAAATGATGCCTTGGAGCTAAATTCAAATCGCCTATTTCTCGTCCAAGAAATACCTTTCTCCGCTGGTTGGTGAAAGGAGCGTAGCGAAATTTGCGTGGTCAGACGGAAGAGCAGGCCTCATGGCCTGAGTCTCGCCACATAAAATAAGGCATTAATTCAATTCAATTCAATTAGGCAAGTAAAAGACCATTGCATTCAAGTCGGGCAAGAACATCGCGCTCAGCGCACGCGCTTCTCGGGGTCTACACCCCGAGTAAAAATAGGTTAGGTTTAGATTTAAAAATTATATTTTTCCAGTAAATTCAGAAATTAAAAATCATCCCAATATGTTTCTCTGCGTTTTATATGGTGCGGCCTGATATCACACATGGTCCCATCCCCCCCGCCCCTGTTTCAGAGCGGCTGGGCAAACTTCTGAGATCAACAATACTTGGTAGTCAGGTGTGGATTGCCCAAATCATGTAAATATGGTCCACATTCATAAGGATTTCTTTGATGTGGTCCTTTAGGCCTTGCATGTTGGACACCCTTGTCACAGAGAAACGCTTCAGTCTCAGGTCTCCGTCTGATGTTCGTGGCTGCCTACCAGTCGAAGGACAACGTATAGCACTATTTTTCTCATAGCTCTTCTTCTAACTGTCAAAAGCACATCAGCGTTTAACTTCAAAGGTTTTCGACTATACACTATCTGTTGTTGCAGTCTCGTAAACACTTCCGTAAATATCGGAGTGGCCTTCCGACTTGGAAAGCATTGCTTATAAGTCATGTTGAAGAAAAATATTTTTGTCCAGAAACTAGTAAAGGCTCTTTCAGAGCATCCGTAGTGTGTTAAAAGTGAGACGATGCTCAAGTGTTCTGATAAATCTGTGACAGCAACAAAGCAAACAAAATACATTCTTGAGATTGTATCAGTTACTACTAACCTTAATGTGTGATTGAGTGATTTGTATTCTCGAATTAAAATAAAATTAAAGTCAGTAAGGCTGCCTAAAAATAGTGTATGACACATGTGGTAAAAGTGATTTTATTTTTCGTGTTAGATTTGGTACACCCAAAACAAAATGTCACTTTACCACTCGTGTCATAAACAACGTTTACGAAACGTTGAAGATTTCACGGCGGGTACTGTAAATATACATGTTTGGCCTCTCAATGAGGACTGAATTATTTAACTAGATATTTTGAGAATCATAACGATTATCTTCACTTTTTCCCCTTGTATTCATTGCAAAGTTTCTCATTTTATTTGTTTACATATGGGTACATTGTTAATTTTTCGTATCAAAGTGAAGAAATGATTACGCAGAATTCTCAATTACAATTGAGACATTCGGGTATAAAAAATGTCATTTACCCATTTTAGACACGTTACGACGTGTGTCTCGCGTTTCGAGTAAAACAGCACTGGCCTACTTCGCATTTGCGTATGAAACAAAGGTTAATCCCATTGCGAATGGCAATTGGAGCCTTTAGGACAAGTCCGGTCTCTAGTATCCTTGCTGAAGCCAATGAAGGCGACAAAAATAGAAAAGGAAGAAGGAAGGAAGATAAAAGAAAAAAGAAGAAGGAATAGAAAAAAGGAGAGGGAGGAGAGAGATATCAGGTTTACGGTTGCCCTCAGACTTGACGTACTTCGGTGTCACGGCCTTCTTAATATGATTCATTATGTTCACTTCTTATTATTGTGTTGTGACGATAGAATTATTTATCATTACGTGGTAGATTGAATACTATGTGTTTTTAGAGGTAATCAGGGGAAGTGTGTGGTGTACAAGTTCACGCGCGCGGAATTGTGCTGCTTTGCTACGCGTGTTCCAAGTTGAAGACGAGACTTGGCTTCGGCCGTCGTGTTAGCCATAAAACATCCTTCAGTATGTCCCAAGCATACTTACCAACGCATTTTATGCGATACTATCATTAATATTATTGGATAAATGTATGTTGTGGTGTCGTCATTTAAACTGTTTCTCAAATAATAATATAAAGGATTCCTGTCTGGTGAACGATAACAGTCCTTCACACGATCGGAAGCGAAGCAGATCACGTCAACGCACAGTAATCGGGAAGCCTTCGCTAAGGTACACGTTCGTAACGAGATCAGCCGAAACAAAAAATGTCAGTTTATATTAGCACACAAACCCTTAATTTTGTAGAGTAACAATTACCTGATTGATTATTATTTACTCAATTTGAAGAATCTGTGTCAATCATAACTGCATCATACTGATGAACCATGGAACTATTTTTTCAAACGAAAAAAGTGATAATTATTACCTTCATACTATAATTATTTTGCAGCCATCTCTTCTCGGTAATTGGTGTTTCCGGTTCTTATGCCTGTGGGTTTGTGTATATTGTAACGTATTAGCCAGCGTGCCTCATGGCATCTATTTGGGGACGCTTGGTTGCGGATTAGTCTCGCCACAGGAAGAAGGGTTTTTCCGTAAAGGAAACGCGGAGACGGGAGACAACAAGGTTTGGGTGTCTTCGCGCTTATAGAAGCTTTTCACTGTTATAACAAGCGAGGGGGTGGCGTAACGTAGGAGGTCCACGTGGGCCTCGCCTATATAACAGAGTGTACGGAGCAGTAGGCAGGTTCTGGAGACGGTGGGAGAACCTCGTGCGTGTGCAAAAACTTTGCGCCAAGACGGTGCATATGCGAGCCAGGTTGCGAGGCTGGAGTCATTAGTTGACGAAGCCTGCGGACTTTATGTCCTTGGGTTGACTGCGGTCACGGGGGAGCGATGCTGTGTGCGTGCTCCGAGGTGAAGAGTGGTTGAGTGCCACGATTCACGCCGATTCTCAATCGGATAAGATCGCTCCTGCGATCGAGGCAAACCAGCCGTTGGTGCGCCAGAACGGACTTTGTGCCCAGCGTACATCCGGTCACGGAAGCTAGGCTTTGTGCGCGCTTCAAACGTAGGAGTGGCGAATGCCACAATCAAACCATCTTTCAATCGGGTTTTGGCGATCGCTCCCGCGATCAGGGGATAGTAGGTCTATCAGAGCTAGGGTGTAAGTAGATTATTAAGTGTATATTTTGTTTTGTTTTCTGTTAATAAATATATTTGTTATCGAGCT